ACACATACTGTCCCATTAAGTTTTGTTTTTCAAAGTTTTAAACATGCGACACAGAGAGCAAGAGTTGCAAGAAAGGAAATCCTGGATAACAGAAGAACAATAGGCCTTACTACCTCAAATAGAGGTAAGTCTCCTTAGAGCTTTCATTTTCCCCATCTTTATTCTTATTACTCTCTTGACAATAAGAACTGAACTGACCAATTTATTTTCATTACATTCCACAGTTACTAGGATTTTCAAGCCAACAAAGCCATCACTTGTACAAAATTTGAGTAAAAGTTTCATGACAATCAACAGAAATCACAACTTTAGGAAGAATTATTGGAAGAACCCTTTTCACAATTAGCTTGCTTATTTATCTGTTCATTTTACTTATGTCTGCAGGCCCCCATACTGAAACGCAAAGTTCACTTACCATTGTAATTTTGAGTGGTTCTTGAAACGGCCCGCACCCTGCGAGTAATAGCATAGGTAAGTAATAACTGCATATTATATAAGTATCGCTTTGTATTAGGGATCGTAAAGAAATAGTTAAGACTAATAATTAGGCTTTCGCACAATTACAAGTTATGTATAAAACATAATGTCATCTTTTTAGGTAGAATTGTTAACCAAGAAGGTATTCAACGGAGTACCAACATTTCAGACAGGAAACGAAAGACTCTTGGATCACCTCCATCAGTGAATTCAAAGAGAAGCAAACAAAAGGTAACAACGGTTCTTACATAATGAATTCGTATAGTTATTCTATTTTGTTATTCAATAAAGTGCGACTAAATTTAAGCAAATATTAACAGCAAGGCAAGGTCACAACATGACAGGACAATCAAATCCGACTCTTCCAAGACTGTTTCTAACAGATGAAAATCCTGAAGGTATTTTTATCCTCTGTTATAATTGTAGTAATATTATGTCTCACTAAAGGTAAATACTAATATATATTTGCTATTATTCTGCTCGTCTGCTCTAGACTTCTGTTTATATGTTTAAATTAATATTTTTCAGCTTACAAAGTCCATTACAACAAGCCAAAACAAATGTATTCGTTCCTCCACCAAGGTTCATTGTGGAGGAACATCCTGAAGGTAAAATGTATTTTCCATCTATATACATGAGACACAAAATTATATCCATCGATCATATGTTTTGACTATGTCATACAATTTTTCACGCAGCTTACAATAATCGATATGAAATGGACAGTGAGTCTGAAAGTGAAAATGGAGATGACAAGAATCAAACTTACACTAACTATCCAGCTGGAGAGTCTTTGATAAACCCATCACCACAATATATCGCACAACAAACGAATCATACAGTTACATCGCCTATTATTATCGAGATACAGAAAAACGGTAATCACGTTGTTCTCAAATTTAAATATTTATTCATTTTGTAACAATATATTTATTATAAATAAATTAGCTATCATCTAATATAAAACAAATAGTTCAAATACATTTTATAAATTAATATTTAAGCTTATTTAAATATACCATAATCTCTTATAATAATTTAAAAAATCTGATAAGCATATATAAATAATTTTGCATAAACATATATTTTGTTAATGATGATATGTTCTTAAACATGTTATTACGACGACAGAGATCCAATTTGGAATTGTAAACATTGTCAAGCATATATGTGGTATGGTGAAAGAATTGGAAAACGCCGTCGTAGTTCCAATCCTGTCTTCACAATGTGCTGTAAAAGTGGTAAAGTTGTGCTTCCTCGGCTCGCGAATCCTCCAATGGAGTTAATGACTTTGTTATGCAAGGGAGACGAGTTAAGCAAACATTTTCGAGAGTTCATACGAGCTTACAATATGATGTTCTCTTTCACATCTCTTGGGGGCAAGATTGATCATTCTATTAACAATGGTCGTGGACCATTTGTGTTTCGAATGTCCGGTGAGAACTATCATCGTATTGGTGATATAGTCCCCGAGCCTGGACAAGCTCCCAAATTTTCTCAGCTGTATATCATTGATACTTTAAATGAGATCAGAAATAGACTTGAAGCTTATGCCGGGTATTTTTGAATAATTTCTATCAACTTAATATGCCGATATATTGTTCAGACTGCAGTATGGTCCATGTTTTGTGAACTTATATTTTTAAAAAAACATATGTTGCAGGTCTGACAGAGCTACTGCTAAGAAACTAAGAGAACCACTTGTTCTTCTTCTGAAGAATATGTTAGATCAGTGTAACCCTCATGTTAAGGCCTTTAGGTCTGCAAGAGACATATTCGATGAGGAAGGAACTACATGTTATAGGATGAGGCTGATTGAGAGTCGACAATCTGATGGACGGACCCATAATCTTCCGACTGCAAATTAAGTGGCTGATTTGACACCTGGAGATTTCGTTTTAAATATGGAACCTCGAGATATTGTTCTAGAGAGTACAAGTGGAAAGTTGCAAAGGATAAGTGAATTACATCCGGCTTATTTGCCTCTGCAATATCCACTGTTGTTTCCATATGGAGAGGATGGCTTTCGATTAAATATTCCTATTGGTTTTGATGACAGCACTGCGAGAAAACGCAAGAATGTAACTATGCGTGAGTACTTTGCATTTCGGATTTTAGAGAGGAGGTGAGAAGCACCTACAATTACAAGATTAGGCAGATTGTTTCATCAGTTCCTTGTGGACGCCTACACAATGATAGAATCGAGTAGACTGCGTTACTTGTGGCTGAATCAGAAAAAGCTCCGGTCTAGCAGTTACGATGCAATCCAGAAAGCAGCTGCAATAGGTGGAGCTAAGATGGCTAAGCAAGGGAGCCGAATTTTCATTCCAGCAACTTTCACTGGAGGAAAAAGGTATATGAAGCAGCACTACTATGATGCCATGGCTATGTGCAAGTATCATGGATTTCCAGATATTTTCATCACTTTTACGTGCAATCCAAAATGGCCTGAACTTACAAGGTATCTGAAAAAATATAACCTGGCCACCGAAGACAGGCCTGAAATATTGTGTAGAGTTTTCAAGATGAAACTCAATAATCTTGTCGGCGAGTTGACAAAAAAGAACGGCTCCTTAGTTGGCCCTACTGTTGGACATGAGTTTTACCCTCAACAAGGCCCATTAAGACAATGAATTAGCACATCTCACTAGGAAACCCTAGTTATCACATTCCTATAAATAAGGAGGTACCTCCTTATTAGAAATGATCCTCTTCTGATTTTTAGACTAAGAACACTTCTTATGGATTTATAGATTCACTTTACATTTGTATTTACTCATTGTAATGAATCTTCATATCAATAAATCTATTTGATGTTCTATTCTCATTCGATTTCTTTGTTGATTTCTCCTAAGCTTCAGGGATTTAAGAATCCAATTCTTAAATCTTTTATTATTATGATTCTACAAAAAAATACCATTTTTGGATCAAACAGTTGGCGCTAGAAGAAGGGGGCCAAGGAGAACTATCTTCGTAGCATTTCAAACCATGAAAAAAATATGAGATTTGGATTTAAAAAAAAAAAAAAGAATGAAGCAACATTGTTGTTCTTGTTTCTTCACCAATAGACGGCGTTTGTTCGACGGACCAAGAGAGATTGACATCAAATTTTGAAACTTCCTTCGACCAACATGGAAGCTTTGCTTCCGATGTACCCACCAAAGAGCCAAAGATTCTCATAGAGCTTGCCGTCTCATCCCTTCGCTCATTAAGAACCCGTGGTTCTGCTTCAGTCTCGATCTGCCGGTGAAGCTTCCGGGATCTGCCGGTGAAGTTGGCTCTAAGACACGACCAGACAGAGCTCGTCCACAAAAGACCAAAAGTCTCAGTCTTTTCCGGAGAGAGAGCCGCGACTTTGACTAGTCCAATGGAAAGACTGCGACTTTGACGAGTGACGCAGTCGGGGTCTCACTTGTTACTGCGGATTAATGACGGAATCTCAGCTCACGTCCTTGCCGGTGCAGTCGTTTGTTTTGGACCAGAGAACTTCAAAGGTACGAGCTTTCTCTAGAACTTGCCGACAAGGAGAACACGAGTTCGTTTTCTTCGGCTCCGTACTTCTCTTAGATAAAGGGAGAAGCTTTCTTAAAGACCCATCAAAGTTTCCAACTTTCGGCAAGAGCGCGATCTAAGCTCGAGGACAACGATAAATTTAGAGAAGAGAAGCCCAAATTGGACCCAGCAAATCTCGTAATTTCCTCTTCACAAGCTTGCCGTCTCGGAAGTTTCCGGGGAAGAAATTTGGATCTGAACATATTCAGCGATTCGAAGGAGAAGAAGAGAGCGTTGTGGTGGTTATACGGTTGATTACTTGGTGTGGTTTCAAGTTCTTTAAGCAAGTTGATTGAGCTTCAGTTACTTGATCTCTCTCATAACCGCGTGAATTGCCTTCAGAGATCTCCAAGCTGCAGTAGCTTCAATTTCCCGACTTGAGCCACAGTCTCCTAACCGGAGTGTTTTCTCATCCTCAGAAGCTGACAAGTTTTCACATTCCAAGCTAACGGTTGAGTTGCAAGAAGCTGCGAGTTTGATCCCTCTTGGAACCACTTCCACGGAACCATCCTCAAGTGCTCAGAAACCATCTTCGATCTCTTGTTCTTGAAAAAAAAAAAAAATCAGACTTGAGGGAAGGGAAACCAAAAACCTGACCAGAGCTTTCTCAAACCACCAACAAGCTCGGCCAATCATCTTGCCACAAGCTTGATATAGACAACCCCAAGATGAGAAGAGTTCGATGAGAACAAGCTCAAGCTCTGTTCAAGGATTACTTATTGGCGACTTGAGCTACAGTCGTTAAGCTTGGCTTCTCCGATAGTAGCAATCACGTGATGACTTTGGAAGCTCATTGATGTCGGCAGTTTCAGATGCTCTGACCTCAGAAAACACGCGATCTCGGCAAAAGCGAGAAGAAGCTAGCACCATCTCGTCAAAACTCCAGATCACGATTTATCACCCTTCTCGTCGTTATGGTGACGCAAGATAAGTTTTCTAATCTAATTAGTTAATTATTTGCACCAGATACACCACTTTATACTTTGCGGTAGCACAAAAGTCTATTACGTACCTGTTGCATCACAGCTTTGGTTTAAATTATCAAACAACTTTAAGCTGTTCGTTCATCTCATGTTTTGCTTTGCTGTTGATAGCATATGATATTAATAAATTGTCAATCATTATATCACGTCCAAAACACGAGCACTAAATAAAAACATGCTTGATCGTTTGCTTATTAATTATTCATAAGCTTGGCCCTTTCTTTTGATTTATTTTCATCTAATCATGATTGTGCCTTTGGTTATCCAGATAATAACAATCTCGAGCCAAAAAGAAGAGCCAGAACCGAGCAGTAGCCATGCTTTGAAGAGCAAACTCGAAGTCTCGCATTCCACTTGCTTCCGTTTATGTTCATGGCATCTCGGCGATCACGGTTCAATCTCGGTGCCGGTTCACACGACTTTCCCAAGCTATGCAGCTTGCTTGTTCACGCTCTTTAAAAGTCACAAAGAAAAAAGGAGAGAAGGAGAAACTTTCATCTCCAACCACTCTCGACCACTCGTCATCAAAGATAAGTTTCATATATTTAAATCTTATGAGTACTTTACTGTTCATGAGCTTTGCACAATGTTTAGTAATCGCTTAATTACTATTATCTTTTGCAACCCTTGAACATTTAAAAACAAATTTGATGGCTTGCTTATTAATTATGCAAAAGTTGGTTATTCCTTTTGGTTTGTATCTAATCATGATCATGCTTTTCGTGAGCCAGAGATTGTTGAGCCAAAAAGGAAAAGAGAATCAACGAGCCGTTGCCACCATCATCGTGCTTCGTCTTTCAGCTACGAGTACAAGCGGCACAATCCGGCACATTTCTCAACATCATCATAGCGTGATGAACATACAAGCCAACAACTTGCTCGGCATCCAACGATCTCGACACGCAATTGTTCGGTAACCTTGTATATTAGGCACGGATTTACTTTGAACTTGTTTTTTATTAGGCACGAGTTAGCTAGTGACTCGCTTATTGTTAGACACGAGTTTACAAAAACTTGTCTTTGGCTAGGCATGAGTTTACATAAACTCCCCTTCTACTAGGCGCAGGTTCTCAGTAAACTCGCCTTTGTCTCAGCATGAGTCTAGTAAACTCGTCTTTCACTAAGCACGAGTTCAAAACAAACTCGCCTTTTACTAGGCACAAGTTCAAAGTAATTTCGCCTAAATCGTCACAGGTATGGATGTGCCTAGTTCATTGTCTCATAAACCCTATTCGTAAACTCCGCAGAGATCGATTTCATCTCTCTCTACGAACTTGGGGGACTTACTGTTGGACATGGGTTTTACCTCCAACAAAGCTCATTAAGACAATGAATTAGCACATCTCACTAGGAAACCCTAGTTCTCACATTCCTATAAATAATGAGCTACCTCCTTATTAGAAAGGATCCTCTTCTGATTTTTAGACTAAGAACACTTCTTAGGGATTTATAGATTCACTTTACATTTGTATTCACTCATTGTAATGAATCTTCATATCAATAAATCTCTTTGATGTTCTATTCTCATTCGATTTCTTTGTTGATTTCTCCTAAGCTTCAAGGATTTAAGAATCCAATTCTTAAATCTTTTATTGTTACGATTCTACAAAAAACACCATTTTTGGATCAAGATGGTTATCGTTCGACTTCCTCGTTCACTGCTTTCGCTCTTTCCAGGCCCAGCTTACGTCTTGTCTGGCGGATAGGTTTGAAAGTGGGGTCGACGTTGAGCTCGTGGGTAGTTATTGCTGGATCGATTCCTTTCATGTCCGTCATGGATCAAGCGAAGGTGAACACATTTTCCTTCAGGAATGTGAGCAATGCTCGCTGTATATCGTCGGCTCGATGTGCACCGACACGCACCGTCTTACTTGGATCGGAATCGTCTATAGGCATCTCCAGAACCTCGTCTTTCTGAGGGAAAGTTCGAGCAATCGGGTGAGAGACAGAGTTGACTAGGGATGATGAGCGTTGCAGCTTGACTGTGGCGATCAGCAGGTCTCGAGCGGCTTGCTGATCTCCTCGTACGGTCTTGATTGTTCCGTCCACCTTAGGGAACTTGATGCATTGGTGGTAGTAGATGGAACTGCCTGCATCGAATGTATCCATGGGGTTCCGAGAATGACGTGGTAAGGGGCTTTGGTGTTTACCTCAGCGAACTTAACCATTCGAGTAACTCCGCATGCACGGACTGGGAGACGGATCGTTCCAAGGACGGTTTCTGATGAGCCGTTGAAGCCGGTCAAAGTTCGTGAGGACGATTTGACGTCGTCGAAATCGACCCCCATCTTTTCAAGCGTATCACGAAAGATGAGATCAACTGAGCTTCCTATGTCGATGAGTACTTTGGTTACATCGTACTTACCGATCTCGAGGACGACTAGCAGAGGATCGTTGTGGGGCAAATGGGCTCCGTTCAAATCGTCGGGGGAAAAGTTGATTGGCGTGTGGCTCGGTGGCTTCGCAGGCCAACGTCTCGAGGACGCGGCTTGGCGCCGGTAGTCTTTGACAGAGCGGACAAAGTCGCCACAAGGAGGTGAGCCACCCATGATGACGTTTAGCCGTGGTTGCCCGGTTACTCGTTTGATGTCTAAGAATGTACGAAGATCCGCGGTACGTTCTTGTCGCTCGGCTTTGATGGTTCCATGTTATGGGACAAAGTTGACCGCTCTAGCCGTTGATTCATCGATTTGGAACGGTTTAGCCGCACGCGTAAATCGGTCAGGTTGGCGTTAAGTTTGTCACGTAGATCGGTGACGGGCTTGTCGACCGAGAAGGGAGACTTTGCGGTTTCCAGACGCTGCGACTTGTTGCCTTGGAGCTTGAGGCGGAGATCGGTGCTATTGACGTCACTGCATGTCGTCACCTTTCGCTTGAGGAAGCTCCGCAGGTCGCTTGACACTGGCGAGTGATCGTCCTCGTCGTCAGACGACAAAGGTTGCTGAGATCGTATTACTTCAATACGTTGACGACTCGCTGGTTGCCCCTCGTCTGCTGAAGAATCTTCGTTGTCCGCGTCATCTGAAGGTTTGTCGTCTGCACGACGTTGCTCTCCGCTTTTACCACCAGACTTTCGCTGCGCGCGTTTGTCCTTGTTATTAGACCAACTCTTGCCGGATTTTTGTTTTTGTTTTGGAGCCTGAACCTTGAAGTCGCCTTTTTCGACCGATGAGAGAAATTCAGCGTACATCGTCCTACACTCGGTAGTATCGTGTCCTTTGACGTCATGGTACTTACAGTGTTTGGTGAGGTCGACTCCTTTAGAAGATCCGGCCCCTGAGGTAGCTGGCGACGCGGGTTGAGCTGGTCCGGCAGGATTAGCCAAACCTTTTAGGGCTGCCGTCTCTCGGTTGTACACGTTCCATGGCTCGCCGCGTACTGAGAAACTTGCGACTGGTGTGTTGTTCTCGTCAACGACAAACATGAGCCCGCTCTTTTGTTGTTTCTTGTCGCTGGAAGCGTGTTGACGCGGCTCCGGCTTTGCGTCGGCGGTCTTGGGCGTTGTCGGCTTTGCTGAGTTATGTTTGCCCATGATCGCTTTCGTGTCTTCCTCCATGCGGATGAAGTTGTGTGAACGAGCGATGGCGTCCTGGAGCGTCGTGGAGGTGCTTCGGTATAGGTATTCTCGGAACTTGGAATCGAGATGGAGGGTGTTCATCAGAGCGTCGACGGCTATGTGGTCNCGTCGGCGGTCTTGGGCGTTGTCGGCTTTGCTGAGTTATGTTTGCCCATGATCGCTTTCGTGTCTTCCTCCATGCGGATGAAGTTGTGTGAACGAGCGATGGCGTCCTGGAGCGTCGTGGAGGTGCTTCGGTATAGGTATTCTCGGAACTTGGAATCGAGATGGAGGGTGTTCATCAGAGCGTCGACGGCTATGTGGTCAGGGATGTCGAACTTTGAGACGATCAACTTGAAACGCTCCATAAAGTCTCGGAGACTTTGGTCCTTGGTCTGCTTTAGGTTCTACAAGCTGGAGGCTGTCGCTACGCGCTTAGTGAACATGATGTAGGTTTTGAGGAAAGCCGACGAAAGCTCCCTGAAGCTGCTGATGGAGTTCTCCTTGAGGCCAGAGAACCAGATCAAGGCTTGGTCGTAGAGTGTCTCCACGAACAGCTGACAGTAGGCGGCGTCCTTTTCGTCATCGGGTAGTCGTGCTCGGGCTATCGCGATGTTGAAAGGCGTCATATGTTCTACGGGGTCGCCGTCGGGCTTGTATTGCGGAACACGCAGCTTCTCGATCTTGCGGAAGTTTACGCTAGTCAACGTATTGTAAATGGGGTACGCTCGGTTGAAGCGAGGACACTCTTGATCTGTGGAGCGGCGCTAGTAACCTTGTGAATCGTGGAGCTCATCAGTTGGAGGTTGAGTTTGAGCTCGGCGATTTCACGGATAGTCGTGAGATCTGGGCCGACTAGAGCTGTTTCTGCAGCGTGAGGCTCGGTGGGTTCCGACTCTTCCGAAGTGTGGTCGGCTACCGGCGCCGTAGGGTTAGTGTTGAAGAGATGACGTCTGAACTGTTGAGAGTTACTCGTCTGCCCGGCGGGAGCTGCTGTTAACGCTGCGACGAGCGCAACAAGTTGCGCTTGAGTCTTCTTTGCGCTTGAGTCTCCTTTTGGATCTCGTCTTGTCTGGCGAAACGCGCCATGACGGAGCTCATGAAGTCGGGCGGAAGGGGTGTTTTGGGTACGGGAGTCTGAGTCGGCTCCTCACCGCCGGTTCCGGAGACGGTTCCGTCGTCTGGCATGTATAGATCTGATAACGTTGCTTTGTTCAGAGCCCCACGATGGGCGCCAAATTGTTTGAGGTGAAAATTGTTAAGAACAATATAAAGAGAGAGATGAGGCGAACAAAGACGTTCTTTATTAGATCTGAACAAGATAATACAAGGAGGGTAAGTAGAGAGGCGAACTTGCCGGAGCTCGGAGAGCAGACCGGAGGACTACAAAGTGGTGAGTATCGGTAAAGGTAAGCAAACCCTAGATCTGACCACCTAGTCTCTATGAAACCTTAGATCTAGCTGCCTAGTGAGTATGTCGAATATGTCGATCCCCTTTTCTCTTGCTGCCTCTCTCCTTTTATAGACCTTATCTTCATGTTCGCCCTAGTTTACCCGAGCCTTGTTGGGCTTTATTCTCGTTGGGCCCGTTTAGTAGCCCGGGTAAATCATGCTTCTGCCGACTCTTCCAGAACACTCTTAGTCGCGCTACTAGACACGTCCTCGTGCTGAGGCGTTTCTTACGCGTTTAGTGGGCCGAGTACATTATCACATCGGGCTAAGCTTCTCCATCTGATGGCGCCCACCGTGGGGCTCTGAAGAAAGCAACGTTATCAGATCTAGACATTCCAGGCGACAGAACCGTCTCCGGAACCGCCGAGGAGGAGCCGACTCAGACTCCCGTACTCGAAACACCCCTTCCGCCAGACTTCATGAGCTCCGTCATGGCGCGTTTCGCCAGACAAGACGAGATCCAAAAGGCGATTCAAGCGCAACTCGCCGTGCTCGTCGCAGCGTTAACAACAGCTCCCGCCGGGCAGACGAGTAACTCTCAACCGTTCTGACGTCATCTCTTCAACACTAACCCTACGGAGCCGGTAGCTGACCATACCTCGGAAGAGTCGGAACCCACTGAGCCTCACGCTGCAGAAACAGCTCAAGTCGGT